TAATTAAGAAATACAGACTAATAGTCATCTATGATAATCACTTATAGTCATGTTAGTTAAGTTTTCTAGGTATACATAGGTATATTTCAGTTAAGTAGGTAATCTTCAAACACTTCAAAGACCTACAGTATATAGCATTTAAAATGTTTTAAAAACTTAGACTTTCTGGATAGTGAGACATGTCTGCTCCTGGCAGCACCAATTTACTTCAAAGAGAAAGATGGGTGCTGAAGACACTCTATATGGAGTTTATCTTCTTGGCACAAAATGGCCATTTTGGAAAGAAACTGCTCCTGCCTGGACTGCTTGGCAGGATGTTATATAAATTGGACATACAGGACCCATCGGAAGGTGACCACTGAACTTTGCAAGACAAGATGGTCCTTCAGGTTCCTGCTTCACAGAAGAAACTGCCAGACATTTTACAGGACACAGAAAAAAGTGACTGAGAGACTCTAGGCCTATGGGCTGAAGATAGATGAATACCCCAATGAGAGAGAGGAAGGATTCTGCAGGTGGGGGACGTTGAGTCATGATGGGAGGACATGCAGAGATGACCGGCCTCACCAGTGGAAACCCGTGAACTGTGGATTGGTGGCTGTGGAGCCCCCATGAGACTGGATTAAGCCCTCTGGATATAGAAGATGTTTGTTTGGCTCAAATTGTTTGGGGGGCACCCAGGCAGAGGGATCAGGATCCACCCCTGGTGCATGGGCAGGCTTCTGGGAATCCAGTGTCTGTGGTGTGATGCCTTGCACAGTTTTGGTGCAGTGGGAAGGGACTTGGACTTGCCTAAGCTCAGTGTGCTGGGCTCTGCTGACTCCCCATGGGAGATCTTGATTTGGGGGATGTGGGGATGTGGGCTGGCTTGGGAGGGAGGGCTGGAGGGTGGGAGGAGGGAAGAGGTGTGATCTGTGGGTGGTATGTAGAGTGAGTAGAAAATTTCTTAATAAAAAAATGAAAAAAAGAAAAGATTCATCAGTGCAATCAATGAGGTAAAGCATTTACATGTGCCAGCCATCCTCAGAGGTGTGAAAGAAAACATTGGAGAGAAACCTATGAATATAAACAATGTGATAAAATTTTATGTAGCTTACCTTCAATTACATGAAAGAATTCATACAGCAGTAAAATTTTTCATGTGTACATAATGTGGTAAAACCTTTATAGATCCCACTTATCTTCTAAGGCATGTAAGAATTCATACTGAGGAGAAATCCTATGAATGTAAACATTGTGATATATAAAACATTGTAATAAAACATATTCAGTTACATGAAATAATTCACTCAGAAGTAAAACCTTTTGTGTGTAAACAATGTGGGAAAGCCTTTAAAGGTTACCATTTGTCTTCTGAAGTATGAAAGAACTCATATTGGTGAGAAACCCTATGAATGTAAACATAGTGATAATGCCTTTGTAAAGAAATATATCCATTGATTACATGAAATAAATCACTTAGGAAGAAAGCCTATGAATGTAAACAATATGTCAATATGAAAAACTTTTCATGTCAATATTACCATCAATTACATGAAAGCTGTCACATGGGAGAAAAAAATCATTAGCACAATCAATGTGGTAAAGCATTTTCATCAAAGTCATGAAAGAACTCATACTGTAGAGAAACCTTATTTTTGTAAAGAGTATGGTAAAGGCTTTAGATGTAAATCTTGCTTAAAAGTACAGGAAAGAATTCATACAGAAGCAAAACCTGTAGTATGTAAATGTTCTGGAGAGCCTTTAGATTTCACACTAGATGTGGAAGACATAAAAGAACTCATACTGAAGGGAATCATTCACTGATACAATGAAAGATTATTCATTTTGGAGGAAAAAAATCTGATGAATATAAGCAATCTACTTAAGCCTTTTCATATCTATCTTTGCTTTGATTGCACCTATAAACTCATAAGAGAAGATCCCTAGTTTAAGAAGTTAAACTTTTTTCATAACAAAGTTATTCTCAATTACTTGAAATAAGTACATGGCAGTAAAACTGTATGGATGTTCATTAGTTTCTTTTCTGTTGCAGTGGTAAAACATTGTATCTTAGCCAAATTATCAACGAGTTTATTTTGGCTTCTAGTTCCTTCCAGATGGATAAAAGTTCATCATGACAGGGAGGCATAGGAGAAAGTGTCAGGCATTGCAGCTGAAGCAGAAAGCCCAGAGCTCACCTCCTCAACCTAAATCATGAAGCAGAGAGTGGGAATTGGAAGTTGTGTGATAATGCTGCCTCAGAGAGCCAGCCTTCAAGGAAGCACAGGGTTTGAGAGAAATCCACAGTGCTGTCGTAAACTAAAACTTTTCTATCTGAGGGGTTAGGGAAAATGAAGACACTCACACAGCCTCTTGATGGTTTCTTTCTTTACTCTCTTTTGTTCTCTCTACCACACTGCTTATTTACCCCAACACATTTTTTTTTCAGGCAATACAAGAGTCATAAAAAAGACTGCATTTCATAGGTAAAGACATGAATAAAACAGGGTCATTCCAGCAACTCTCATGCAATATATCTAAGTAGGCATTCATAAGCAGGCAAGGAGCGTATTTTATTTGCCAACCCTTTTATCGACAGGCTGTAAATTGTGTG